TGGAACTGACTCAATGACACTTAACAGATAACTAAGGCAGTGCTGTTTACCTATTACTGCTGTTATGTTAGGTACAATTAGGTATAATCAGTCGATATTTGACTCATAGTGACCCTGTAGAATAGGATTGCAGATTGTGGTTTTCTAGGTTGTAGTCATTATAAGAAAGAGTCCTGGTTGCAGAGTGAGTTACATGTAGGACTGCTAACCACAAGGTCAACAGTTTGAATCTACCAGCACTGGACTGTACAGGTTGGTTTGAACTATACAAATTCAGCAGCTCACCAGCCTCTACTTTGAAAGCCTATACAGAGTGGCTATGAATCAGAACCAACTCAGCGACCCTTATTGACAAGCAGTAACTACTAAATTTATGATGTTGGTCAAAATGACCATAGTGTGGAATGTTATCAGAGTGCTTTAACCATTGTCATTCTATTCCACTGAAATATTTTGCCATTACAGGGCCATTGTCATATATTCCTCATTATTTATGATGAGGTGTGCCGTGGAGTCTATTCCAATTAATAGCCACTCTGTATAAGATTTCCAAGGCTATATATCTTTACAGGAGCATAAAGTCTCATTTTTCTCTCATGGAGCACCTGGTGGATTTGAACTGCTCAAATTGCGGTTAGCAGCCCAGGACATAACCGCACTATGCTACAAGAGCTCCTTTTCATTATTACAACTTTGTAACCAATTTAGTTACCTGATCAGTTAAATTTAGTTTTATTTAGGTGATTATTTTTAGTGTAGTAAAATATATATAACAGCATTTGCTATTTTAAACACTTTTGTTCGGACAATTCAGTAACATTGATTACATTCACCATGTTGTAACCATAACCACCTTTTCCCAAAATTTTATCAACCTTATGAGAATCTTAATCCCCCTTATGTCGTATCTCTCCATTTCTGTTTTGCACCATTCTTAATAATCATTCATAAAACTTTAGTTTAGAAACATTTGCATATCCTGTAACTGAAATCATAAGTTTTTATTTTGTGGGGTTTTTGTTTGACTAATTTCATTCAGTGTAATGTTTTCAAGAATTTCATTTATCTTTATGTCTTAACAATACCCCAGTGTCTATGTGTGGTGTATACCATTGTTGTTAAATGCCATCAAGTCAGTTCCAACTCATGGGGACCATGTAAATATTTACATAAACATAAATGGAGTCCTGGTGTGGCATTGTGAGATAAAGCACTGGATCTTATGGTTGGTTTGAACTATAAGATTGGCAGTTCAAATGTACCAGCTGCCCCTTGGAAACTTTATCCAGGATCACTCTGTGTCCAAACCAACTCCATAGCACTTAACAATAACAACATATACATACACATGCACATACATGTAAACATACACATACATATAAAAATCGATCATATGAGATCAAAAGTACAGCATTTTCCCAAAACAATGCTAAGAAGCTTGTTGTTGTTGTTAAGTGCCGGTAGAGTTGGTTCGGACCCATAGCGACCCTGTATAGTGGTAGTAAAGGACAAATGAAAATAGGAAACCAGCAAGGAAGCTGAAAGGGTGCTGTTGCATTGAAGGATTGTTAAAATTTTATTTACTCTATAAACTTTCACCCAAACCACAAAAATGAATAAAAGAGACTTTATAATGCTTGCTGGGTGTTTTTGTGTGTTTCTGGGTGTAGATGTATAGTTTTTTAGTTTTAATTTTATATCTTACTCATTACTAACATGTATTTAAGAGTCTTAGTGCCATAGTGGGTTATGCTATAAAGATTTACAGCCTCGGAAATTCTGTACAGAGTCGCTATTAGTCGGAACCGAACAGACTCCATGGCACATAACAACAGCAAGGAGCTCTGGTACCGTAGTGGTTATGCATCCAGCTGCTAATCTCACAGTCGGCAGTTTGAAACTACCAGCTGTTCCCTGGGCTCCCATAAAGATTTACAGCCTTGGAAACCTTGTACAGGGTCGCTATGAGTTGGAACCGACTCCACTGCACATAACAGCAACAACAACAACAACAACAACTAACCACATGGTAAGCCGTTTGAATCTACCAGTTGCCCCATGGAAAAAAGATTAAGATATCTGCTTCCTTAGAGATTTTAGCCTCGGAAATCCTATTTGTTGTTACGTGCCGCCAAGTCAGTTCCGACTCAAAGCGACCTTGTCCAGGGTTTCTGCGGAGCGGTGTGGGTTTGAATCATCACCTTGCAATGCAAACCAACCTTGTTGTCCAGTTCTCCCTTAATGACTTAAAGCCTCTGAAATGCTATACGAGATCAAAAGGACAATTGAGATGGCATACAACAACAACCATAATGACATGTAACTGGAAAAGAGCTTGTGAACTTTTGGTATCTTTTCCTATCCTACCTGATTTTCTAAAAAAACAATTGCTTCTGTATCAACTCAAAGAAAACAGTCATTGGGACTCCACTTGCTTGACTCCTTTAAGGGGCACCTTCTTTATGGTCTAATTTTATTGGAGCGTCTGGGTGATATTAGAATATAAATAAAATGAACTTCTCCCACTGTCCCAAATGCCGAGCTCCCTGATACAGCTTTTGTACTAGCTTTATGTAGGATTACGTAGGGCTGAGTGATGAAACCACTGTGTTACATTCTCATTGGTGGTTCCTAGATAAGCGGCTTTTTACAAAAGCCGAAGAAGCTGATAGTTTTGTGTGTGACCTAGGCCTCAAGATCTTATGGGAAGGGGCCTCCTCCCTCACATTGGTGGTATCTCTCATTACTCCATGCTTATGTTAATCAATAAAAAAATAATAAATAAAACAATACTATAACATATTGCATTGGGCAAATCTGCTGCAAAAGTCAATTTTAAAAAACAAGGATAGAACTTTGAGGACTAAGGTGTACCTAACCCAAGCCATGGTCGTGGTGTGGTGCTCTGGGTTAATGTGCTGGACACATACGTCGATTTGAACCACAAATTCAGCAATTCAAGCTCACCAGACGCTCTTCAAAACCTTTTCTATAAAAGTTTACTATAGGTAGGAACCAACTCAATGGCACTTAACAACAACAACATATGCATGTGAAAGCTTAACAATGAATAAGTTGCTTTTGTGGTCTTGCCTTTCAGTAAAACCAATACTACCTTACATTGCATAAGTTTACTTAGCTGATAAAATAGGCTCAAACATAGCAACTACTGTGAGGATATCACAGAACTTGGCAGTGTTTCATTTTGTTGTGCATAGGGTCTGTATGAGTCAGAATTGACTTGACAGAATCTAACTATAATGGAGTCCTGGTGCGGCACTGTAGGATAAGCACTGGACTGTTAACTACAAGGTCAGCAGTTCAAACTTAGCCAGCCACTCCTCAGAAATTCTAAATAGGCTCACGATGTTTCAGAACTGACTCAATGGCACTGAACAACAGCAATAACAATAAAATTAGTATTATCACAAATATTAATATATTCCATCTCACGAATTATTTTAGTTATATTCTGCTTGTGATCAGAAAGAATTTCAGAGTGTAATATGCCACTCTCTGATTTTAAGGGCAATGAAGAAGAAAGTAAAGTGACTACTCATTTTAACAAGTAACAATAGGCTACAAGTTCAGTGTACTAGGCACTCTGACTGGGACTTCCTTACCTCTGGCCAGCTTTACTTACCAGAGTACAAGGCAAATTGGTTTAGCTCAGAATAGGTTTGGACTTATTTGTTTGTTTGTTTGATTCTGTACACATTGTTTGTGGTGTGGAAGTCCAATAATAAAATGTACTTTGGTTATTACATAACAATCTTGAGTTTCTTATAAAGCAAAGGTCTATAATAATGAGTGTAGTCATTTTATTTTGTTATATTAATTGAAGGATTTAAAGAGATAAAGTCTTATCTTTAAGAGATAAAGTGAGGTTAAGTGAGCATTATCTTCCCCACACAGACTACTTTCTTAAAATAGAACCAAGTACTTTATTCCACTATGACACATACTCTTATTCATTGATAACGTCACAAGATTATAACTTGTCTTCCAGTAAAACCAATACTACCTTATATTGCACAAGTTCACTTAGCTTATAAAATGAAGGTTACAAAAGTTTAGACTGTTTCAATAAAATAAATATATATGTATATACATATATACGGAGTCCTGGTGTGCTGCTGTACGATAATGCCAGACTGCAAAGCAATTTGAACTGTATGTCGGCAGTTCAAGTTCACCAGCTGCTCTTAGGAAAACTTATACAGGGTAGCTATGGGTCAGAACCTACTCAACGGCACTTAACAACAACAACAGCAACATACATCTACACAGAGAGGGTCTTGGTGTGGCACTGTAAGATCAGTACTGGACCACAAGGCCAATTTGAACTAAAAGGTTGGCAGTTCAAATCCACTATTGCTCCTCAGAAATCCTATACTGGGTAGCTATAAGTCAGAACTGACTCAATAACACTTAACAGCAATATATACAGAGAGTTATATAATAATGTATGTTATGTTTTATATACATCTGTGTAACAAAAACTAGTGTTTATACGTCTACACTCAAATAGAACACAAGAAACACTTTAATAATGACCTGAATCAGTGGGTAGAAAACTGCTCTGTAATGAACTGTACTACAAATAAATATCAAGAGATACACTTAATGACTAATTTGTCTATCTTGAATTTCATAGATTTTCTAATAATTTTCAAGTGTCATTTTTGTTTACATCATGCATTTAATTTCATTCACCTCAACAAATGGCTTGTTCAGGTGATTAATATTTACGACTCTAAGGATCTCTTTACTCATTTATATCTTCTTAAAGATTAACTGTTCCTTTAAAGCTTCTTAATGTACAGAGACATAATGTTTCTAGAAGGGCATATATACTTTGTTCACACTCTCTAGTCTGAGTGTAGACATTACTGTTTTACAAAAATTCTTTAAGAACCTGAGAAATTTTGCTTTGCAGTCCATGCAGATTTCTAACTTCTCAGATAGTTCTTAGATTAGCAAGACTTCAAAACACAAAAATGGGTTTGAAAAGTGTGTCTTCAAAGTGCCATTCGCTCAGCTTCTATGAAGTCATTTTTGCATCTCTCTTTACCATATTGGTGGTGCTGTGTGCTGGATTAATTGTGGTGTCCTGGCTGGCGATCGAGGGATCTGAAAGAGGTAAGTTACATGCAGCAGGCTATGGAAAGCACTCTCATATGTACTCTTTAATATCAGTTATCCTATTTGTGTGTTTCATTCATTGTTGTGTTTTCATGGCAAGATAATTATGTTGTATTCAGATGATTCACTTTCTAGAATATTAATAAAATTGTTTGTTGTTGTTAGTATCATAGAACCAGTTTAGGGTAGAAACCCTATATCAGATTTTTGAGGGTTTAAATCTTTTGTGGGTGCAGAAAGCCTCATCTTTCTCCCTCTAACCACCAACCCTGAGGTTTGCAGTCCAATGCTATACTATTTAGTAGAAATATAATTTTAACATTAATTTAGAATTCAAATATAAGAGTAAATTTTTTAAATAAATAACGCTAAATGTGTTTGTCAGTTTCAACATATATCAAAATAGGCTGCATATCCCATTGTTTTATTCTGATAGAATTTAAATTCTAAACATTTCAAAGGTTGTTGATGCCACAGCCAATAAATATGTGAAAATGAAGAAAAATTGAAATATTGCTTATATCTAGCTAATGATGCGTTCATTCTCTGATTGTTGTTGTTAAGTGCCATCTAGTCATTTACAACTCATATTGACCTTGTGTAGGGTTTCAGAAGAACAGTTGGTGAGTTTGAACCATGAGACATTGCAGTTCAAACTGACCTTGTGGTCCAGTGCTTTTATTACAGTGTCATATTAATTGTACTAATTTAAATATATTTGGATGTAAATGACACTTGTAAAGAAAAGAATTCAAGCTGAGAAGCTGAGATGCAACTTGCGGGAAGTAAAGACAATCAATATTAGTCACTAATATACACAGGTATACTAGTTTTTTTCTATAACTCAGAGTAAGATCACTTGCATGTGAGCAATTTAGATTTACAAAGAATATTCTTAGCCTTTGAATTAGCTTTATTTCTTCTAGTAAATCATTAAATATAAATTGGATCTAATAAACATAAGTACAATGTAAATAAATGTACAAAAATATACTTTAAAAGAGAACACTTCTGGATATTTATTTCCTTGATTGTGTTAATGATTAAATAAATTAGAGGTTCATTTGGACTTTTAGAAGGTCATGAAAATCTTTGGTAACCAATGAAAGTACAGAGAAGTTATTTTACATAGTAAATAAGAAAAAAAAATTATTTGTACATATTAATATGATTTTATAATATACAATAGTATGTGAAAAGGGATTTAAATGAAATCCTTAACAAAGTATCAGAGAACACATATATATTTATATTTCAAAACTTTATTGTTTTGAAATAATTGAAAGAAAAGTCGCAAATATTATATATAATTGTCATATACCTGTTGCCCATCTTACCCTAATGTAATACCTTGAATAGACATAATATAACTATAACAATCAAAAATTAACTTTGGTAAAATACTAGTAACTGTAGCACAGACTTTATTCAAATTTCAACAGTTTTTCTACTAATGCTCTTTACTAGTCCAGGATCCAATCCAGGTTTCTACATAGCATTTAGTTATCATCTCTCCGTATTCTCTTCACATGTGATAGTGGCTCACTATTTCCTTATCTTTCCTGTTTAAATATGCCAATCTAAATGAATTTTAAAACATTTAGAACAGAATTGAAATAGTGGGAAAAATAGTTATAAATAAATTATGCAATGATAATGCTTTTAATTAAATGAGATGCATTTATTTTTTGAAATATTGTTTCTAATGTTCCTACTGGACTAGAAAGTTTGCTGTAAGACAGTCATGTGTCCAGATTACAGATCTGTTACATATTAGCTTTCCTGCATTTTCCTTGAGAATTTTCTTAGTCATTCTGTCTAAGTTTCTTGGTCTGGGAAAAGAAGAACTAATATCTTCCCTTGCTTGGTCATTATGAGAACTGTTTTCATGATGTATATTTTAGTCAAATTATACATTTTGAATATAAATATAGATAATGAAAACCTTAAGCACAACTCAATGATATATTTATTACCCCTCTGTATTCAATGTATCAGAAACACTACATTCATATATAAGCTAATATATTTTCTTCAGATTTCTCAATAATTACTCCAATAACAACAATTATCTGACAGCAAAAGGTCGTACATGATGATTTTATAATTACTGGAATGAAAGAATTAGCTTCAAAGCTATGTTTCAAAGTACCACACTCATTGGCATCCTCACAGTAATCCTCATGTAGAAAACCACAGTGTCTCTGGATGCTAGGTATTCAAGAAGGATCTAAAAACAGCCACAAAACTTTTAATGGTCCATTTCTCAACATGTTTCTCTGAATCAGTTCTCATAATTGGTAGTAGTTAATCAGTCCCTACATCTTTCAACAGACATCTCAATTAAAGCAAAATAAAACAAAACAAAAATCGGAAGGATTGGAGTGTGGAATAGAAGTTAGTGAAAAAAAGAGTATTAGTAGAATAGTGAACAAAAAAAAAAAAGTGTTTTGTGTTTTGTTTTATTTTATTTAAGATAGCCAGACAGCTAAAATGCAGCTTTGTACAAGAAGATTGCAAAGAAATAGCTAGAACTAAGAGTCAATATATAAATAAAAGCTAACTTGTGTCTTAACTGAAATGTACATGTTCTTTTTTTCTATTCATGATTCAAATGTCAAGTGTCCTATTTCTTATTAATTCATCCAGATGCAGTATTTGGAAATAGTCATGAAGCTAGAGGAACATTTAAAATAATATCTGGAGCTACATATAATCCTAATTTGCAAGACAAACTCTCAGTGGATTTCAAAGTTCTTGCATATGACCTTCAGCAAATGGTATGGAAATATCTCTCTTTAGCTGTTTTAAAGTTTCATAACAATGTTCACTAACTGATTGCAAAAGATATATAAGATCTGATTTCTTACTTTGAAAATAATTAGTAAGTAGGTATCTTGTTGTTAAGTGCTGTCAAGTTGGTTCCAACCCAGAGGGATGCTGCACAGTGTTCCATCAACCCTGTGGTTTAAAATGACTTTGCAGTCCAATGCATTAACCCACAGTGCCAATTAGGTATATAATCAACTAAAACTAAACCCACTGTCTTCGAGTCATGTCCCACACATTGTGAAATTTTGTTGTTTTTGTTGTTGTTATGTGCCGTGGAGTTGATTCAACTCTTAGTGACCCTGTACAGGGATTCTGAGGCTGTAAATCTTTTCGGGATCAGAACACCTCATCTTTCTTCCAGGGAAAAGTGGTAGTTTCGAATTGCTGACTGTGATATTAGCAGCCCAATTGGTAGCCACAATAGAGTAAAAATGTTTCATGGGATTTCTAAGGCCGTGAATGTTTATGAAAAAAAAAAAAAAAAATTGCCACATATTTTTCTTGCAGAGTGGCTAGTAGATACAAACTGCCAACCTTATGATTAAAACCCAAGTGCATTATCCATTGTGCCACCAAGACACCTTATAACAGGACAAGGTACTTAAATGTACTAGTCTTATCATCATAGAGAAGCCAATTGCCCCTAATCAGTTCTAAGCAGAACATAATACCTACTTTGTATTCATTTTAAACAAAAATTTAAATCTTAAAATTTATGCTTTTTTCACTTTTTCTTCTTTTAGGTAGATGAAATCTTTCAGTCAAGTAATCTGAAGAATGAATACAGAAACTCTAGAATTTTAAGATTTGAGTGAGTAGAGCTCATTTGTTTAACTCATTATAAACAATCATAAGCATGATCTTTTTGGTAATTTTCTAAAATGTTATCACTACATATAGGAGGAATGGGAATATGAAAACATTTTTGGCATCTTTGTGATCACTTAAAGGCTCATGTGAGAAAAGTGGTACAGTATATACTTTCTTAAATTGTAGCAGAGAACAATAACACCGGGGAGTTGCTCTTACATAACATGTTTTTATTTCCTAAGAGGTACATGAGATGGGAAAATGGACATGTGTAATTATGGTTTGGTTAACTTAGTTCTTTAGGACGAGAACCCATTTCCCATGTTTATCTTGTTTTTTTACCTCCTGTCCCAGTTTGTCTCCATTTCATTTCTTTGGAAACAGAAGTTTCTCTGTTCATTACTTATCAACTCCAACCACCTATTTTAGAGTAAAAAACCATACACAACTTAGTCTAATATTTATTGAATAAATAAGTGAAAGAATAAGCTGATGGCAAAATAAACATTAAATTAATGAAATAACAAATATACACAACTTCTCTACGACATGTTATAGTAGCTTAATCCTAAGAGTATACCAACATGTTATAGAAAGTACTTGTATATTTACAATTATATAATTACAATCATATAATTACAATTATTTTCTCATTTTACTTTAACATAAAAGGTAAATAAGCATAAGGTTTAGGTTGTTGGGGCCCTGAAAATTTAAGGTAGCTTTCAAAGTCTCTGGGTGGTGCTAACAGCTAATACATGATTGTAGTTGTTGTTGTTAAGTGCCATTGAGTCAGTTTTGTATAGGGTTTTCAAGGAGCGGTATTGTGAGCTTGAACCGCTGACCTTGCAGTTTAAACCAACTTTGCATTACAGCACATTAAACCACAATGCTACACCAGGATATTAGTTTGCTGAAAAAAAACAGAACAAAACAAAGAAAAACCTTGGAGTCAGCTGGAAATGTCTTGGAAGAAAAGCTTACCAAACTACTTCTGAAAAATCAGATATTGAAAATCTATGGAGCATAGTTCGAGTTTGACATATATTAACTTGCCAAAAGCTGAACGGCAACTAGTTGATTAATCACTTAATTGGGAAAACCACAAACACACAGCTTTCAAAAAAAGCATCAGGTATGTTAGAAAAAGAGTAATACATTTCCTATAGGTGTGCTATAAACACTACAAATTTACTGACTATAATTATTATTCTATAAATAAAT